TACAGATATGGAAGATCTCTACCATCACAGAAAATTCTCTGGAACAAATCTAGTCTAGGCTTTTCTAAGCCTTCCAACAAAAACTCCCTGCCTCCTTTTTTACTACCTGAAGTTTTCTTTGATAAATATTAAGAATATGTCAATTCCATAGTAAGAGGAAAGTAGATTTTATTCACTTACTATTAGAGATCATAAAAAAATAATGGGTCTATTTCTAAAAGAGGAAAACTATTTATTGGTAGACCAATGTCTTCCCAGTGTTAATGTGGTCGGAAATCTCCTAGGGATCTTATTAAACTGTAGGTTCTGATTCAGCGGGTTTGGGTGGGGACATATAATTCTGCTTCTGGTTTGTAGACCGGACGTCGAGTCACAGGGAGTGATAGCATGTGACTTGTGAATGACAACCTTCTTGCTGTAGGAAGAGTCTTGTGTGGCAAGACACAGGCTGAAGGAAATACTCTCATGGCCCGTCACCAAAAGAGTAAGACGGGTCCCCGCTCCTTTAGTGTGAATGTGAATGACAGCCACGCTGACCTACCAAGCAGAGCAGAGTTAGGGCCACACTCAGGAACCACACTGTCAGATTTGATTCTTGACACTTAGGTGTGTCTCCTGAGGCAAACGATCACTGGACTTAGGTTTCTCTGTCTGGAAAATGGAAATAATGCTAATACATATTTCATAGAGAAGTTGTGAAATGTAAAATGCAGATGTGATACAGTTGCAGATATAAAATGCTTAGAACAGTTTCTAACATCCCATAAACACTGCATGTTAGGGTTAAACTGATCTGTGAATGCACCACTCTCTTGCTTCCAAACAAGTGAATGTGGTTTATTCGGGATGAGTCGAAGCATTTCTGACCAGTCGTATCACTCAACTCTGAACAGATGCTAATTTCTCCTTGGTGGATTCAGAAAAGAGCAAGAGGTATAGGGGACAATATTTTGATGAAAGGTTGCATTCACAAAACATCCAGGATTGTAGTGAAAGTGGAAAAAAAAAAAAAGATAGAACCAAATGTTGGGCCCATGATTGACAGGAGTAGTCCAGGAAGGGCCAATCAATTGGTGGTGTTACATCTCTAGGAGACAGCAGCCACTTGGCGGGACCCCGGTGACCCTCACTACCCACTGCCCTTTCACATGCCTCCTTTAAAGAAACTTTTTACTGTGATTACTGTTGTTGTACAAGAGTCTGCATTTGGAAAGTGTTCAAGTCTCATAGAATCTGTTGCTTAAATACATCCCCTTCAATGTGGGGCACAAATGATTTTAAGTTGTTGAACTAAATGTGGTACAGGATTTTGCCATATTGATGATTTTGCCATATTGATGATTTGCCATATTGATGATTTGCCATATTGATCATTTTTTAAACCTTCTCTTTCCACCCCAAAGCAAAGAGCCCAGCCAGCAACGAGTAAAAAGATGGGGTTTCTCTTTCGATGAGATACTGAAGGACCAGGTGGGGCGGGACCAGTTCCTTCGATTCCTGGAGTCCGAATTCAGTTCAGAAAACCTCAGGTAAATCTCTCAAAAGTTTAAACTATCCCCCCAAAGGTGTGTGAAGGAATCGGCATAATCCGTCTCTCCACCTCTTTTTCTCAATTAATACATTATTAGAGTTCATGTTGAAATTCCAGCTAATCTGCTTTAGGTTGAAATAGAAAAGAGAAAATAAAACATGCAACTCTATGATCACCCATAATAGCATCTCTACCAAACAATAGCATTTTTTAGTTTCAATTTGATGACATTTGTTCAACTACCTGGAAACTTGTCTTTGATGATAATTAAATCCTCAAATGGATTTGGTGACGCCATCGATTAAGGAAAACCACAGAATCATGGAATTTCAGAGTAGACAGGCAGCTCCGATGACCTCTTCCCCCAAACTTCCCATCCCAGGCCAAAGCCCTGAAACTCTGAAAAGTTAAATAAAAGAAAGGAGTCAATGGGCTTGTTTTAGAATTTCAAAAAGCCAAAGTAAATATCATTCAGTAACGGGAGACATAACTACACAGTCTAATTGAAACCATATTTTCCCCCCATTTTGGGTGAGAATTCTATCAATTCCATGTGCTGTTTGCTTTGATCTGATGCCACTGAGAATATCTGATTATTTCTATTGGTCAATATCTAATACCTTGTGAGGGAAATGTGTTGATAATTCCTACTTAATAGAAGAAAAAAAATAAAACATCCAAAATATAGGGTCTAATGTGAGAGGAAGAAAAGGGCATGCATTAAAAGAAAGAGGGTTCTTCATCATGAAAAATTGGGGAATTTTTTGTTTATCCAGCTTCTTATTATGTCAGATCAAAAATCAGAAAGACACCAAATACAGTGGCACATGCCTGTGATCCTAGCAGCTTGGAGGTGGAGGCAGGAGGCTGGCGAGTTCAAATTCAGCCTCAGCAAAAGCGAGACACTAAGCAACTCAGTGAGACACCCTGTCTCAAAATACAAAATAGGGCTGGAGATGTGGCTCAGGGGTTGAGTGCCTGAGTTCAATCCCCGGTACCCACCCCACCAGGAAAAAAAAAAATCAGAAAGACTCATGGAAATGTGACTTATCTGAGACCCCTTAGGGATTTTAGCAAACTGGTGACTTCTCAGTGGATAAGATGGAAATTTCTCTCTCTCTCTCTCTCTCTCTCTCTCTCTCTCTCTCTCTCTCTTCTTC